GATAGATAGATAGATAGATAGATAGATAGATAGATAGATAGATAGATAGATGGATGGATGGATGGATGGATGGATGGATGGATGGATGGATGGATGGATGGATGGATGGATGGATGGATGGATAATTCAAAGGGAGAAAATTCAGAACACCCACAGATTTGGACTGGCAAATCTAAATAAAATATGGCATTTTTTAAATTTGGCAAAAGGAATTTGCAGGTTGACAATGAAATAAATAAGTAAAAGGAATCCTCTTTAAAAAAGAACCTCCAGACCCTTCTGTAGGTTCTCATCATATATGCTGTTTTACAATCCCTATTCGCAACACAGATTGAATGTCTATAGGGAATTATCTCCAGATTAGTTTGCACATTTCTCTGAAAGAGTAAATGGTTTGAAAGCTTGGGACTCACTTTCTAAAGAAAGAAGAAGCTGCTCCAAATCAGCAAGTAGGGTTTTGAAGTGCATTCACCTTAGAGCAGATTCAGAAAATAACTCTTAAAAGCCAAAACAGAGAGTGGGTAGAAATGAAATGGTCATCAATGAATCTGCTAATACTTATTGACCTCTCCCACATTTGCATCATTAGCCCAAGTTAAGGAGATATCTTCCATGCTTGTTATCATTACCCCTCATTAAAAGTCACCCTCAAACCATTAGACAAGCTTTTTGGAGGCTTGTTAATTAGTTTCACACTGCAAAGTCGATATCAGCCGACGGTTCCTGGGATGGCCTTGGGGACAAAGATTTGTGGAGATGCATGCTCGGTGTACCAGTGCATGAGAAAAACTGACTGACAGAGCTACTCGCTTGAAAGAATGGAGCTCAGGCAGTTGCGTTCACAGAAGCGCTGGCTCCCACCTGTCTGTCAATGTGACTACAGATAGAGTAATCCTCAAACAGAACATGTATGGAATGCTGAGATCCCATATAATGCTGGTAGTATGGAAAGTCCCACCAGCATACTTCCATGGGACCCTGGGATCATGAAAGAGTGAGGAGGCATTTAGTAGAGGACTACAGTGATGCCTTACTAGACAGTTACCCCGCATGACAGGTTTTTTTCTTTTTTTTTGCTAGACATTGGCTTTTGGCGATCGCTATAGCGATTCACAAAACAGTGATTCCTATGGGGGAATTTCGCTGGACAATGTTTGGTCCCTGCTTCGCAAACTGATTTTCGCTAGACAATCTGACAGCTCCCTCCGTGCTCACAAAACGGGTGTTTTCGGGACCTAAGCTTTGCAAGACAGCGATTTAAACAGCTGATCAGCGGTTCGCAAAGCGGCTTTCCTATGGCCGATCTTCGCTAGACAACGACGATTCTTCCCCATTGGAACGCATTAAACAGGTTTCAATGCATTCCAATGGGGAAATGCTTTTCGCTAGAGAATGATTTCGCTAAACAACGATTTCAGTGGAGCGGATTATCATCATCTAGTGAGGCACCACTGTATTCTGGCATCTGCACAGCCTGCTATAAGCTTATGTCTTATTAGGTCAAAATCCTTGGTCAATAGGTGGCCATCTTGGTTTTCTCTCTCTCTCTCTCTCTCTCTCTCTGTGTGTGTGTGTGTGTGTGTGTGTGTGTGTGTGTGTGTGTGAGAGAGAGAGAGAGTGTGTGAATGAGTGTTGAGATATGCTCTCAAGCAGATAAATAGAGAACTCCTTGCATAAAGAACTTTCTGGTGCTTCCTTGTGCAAGCTTCAAACAACTACATCTGGTTGAACCAATATAATATCCCAATGGGATGCTGACCCATTGATTCTTGACGCGCCTTGAAGACTTAACAAGTTTTATTTGGCAACAGTATATGTAGACAGCAATCCAACCCCATCTGATGGAGGCTTCAGCCTCCCAAAGTAAACATTATTTTTGTCTTAATATATGTGTGATCTGCATTTTACACTTTCTTTTTCAACCTTGCTTGGCAAATTAAAGAGACTCGTTACCTACACAGCAAGCATAGGTGGATGGTCTGATTGTTTTGAGTTACACAAGCAACCCGTTCTGAGTTTCTAACTTTTAAAATCCCATGCAATGAGGCAGGGCCACCATCGTTTTGCACATGTTGCACAACTGACACAAAACTCATTCTCACAAAGGCAGCCATTTTCATTGACAGTGCTTATTGATCTCTGATTCCCTTGCAGGTGAGGAGAACTATCTCCCTCATCAATATCCTACCCTTTTGCAGACAAGGGGATTCACCCTCTGGTTTCCTGTCCTTACAAGCAAGAACAAACTGGGTTTGTACCCATCCTTCCAGATGAAGTGGCCATTTTAAAGAGATGTGTTAGACCTGTGATGGCGTAAGCTGTTCCTTTGTCTCTGCTCTGACAATCCCTCACCTCATGCTGGTCTCATTATTCTCGCTCTCTCTTTTCCTTGTAAGAATAAAGATGAAAGTGAGCCTCAAAAAATGGAGAGTTAATCATCGACTGTCAGCAAGAGTTCTCATCAGTGGCCGCATTCTGTCTTGATTTGATTCTGCCCGTATGCTTCAGAATGACTTGAGAAGCAGGAGAGGAAAGGAGGAAATGGGGGAAACACCTGAAAAAAAGTGATAAATATTCACAGTGAGCTTCCATGCCTCTAAACGTACTGTTATTGATCACAGATAGATTGTTCAAACTCTCTGCCACTTCCACAGTAGAATCATAAACTTGTGGAGTGCACTGTATGTATGTATGTATGTATGTATGTGTGTGTGTGTGTGTGTATGTATGTATGTATGTATGCATGCATGCATGCATGCATGCATGTATGTATGTATGTATGTATGTATGTATGTATGTATGTATGTATGTATGTATGTATGTATGTATGTATGTATGTATGCATGCATGCATGCATGTATGTATGTATGTATGTATGTATGTATGTATGTATGTATGTATGTATGTATGTATGTATGTATGTATGTATGTATGTATGTATGTATGTATGTATGTATGTATGTATGTGCGTACCTGCGTGCTTGTTTGTTTGTTTGTTTGTTTAACTTATATGCTGCCCACAATACCCAAAGGTCTCTGGGTGGCTTACAACATTTTGAATTCAATAAAAAGATTAAAAAAAAGATAAAAACAATTAAAATACAAAATACAATTAGAAATACAATACTCTAAAAATTGCCATTAGGACCCACAGTTGATATTATTTCAATTAAAAATCTCCTGGAACAGGAAGGTTTTGACCTGGCACCGAAATGTCATCAGCGTCAGCACCAGACAAATCTCCCTCGGGATGGCATTCCATAGTCTGGGGGCAGCTGCCGAAAAGGCCCTTTGTCTACAAGCCATCCCTCTTCCCTCCTTGAGGGATGGCTCTTTCAGGAAGACCCCCTGGCTGGATCTTAATTACCAGGTAGGTTCATATGGAAGGAGATGGTCCTTCAGGTATCCAAGGCCCAAGCCCTGAGCAGACCAGTGTGGTGTAGGGGCTAGAGTTTTGAACTAGGACCCAGGATTCATGGGTAGTCTGGATATCAATATTGTATAACTTTTTAATAATATCTTCACAGGCAGCCTCAGATCCCCTATTGTGAAGGTAGGCCCGTGGAGTAACCAGGTTTCAATATGATTATGGAGATCTTAGCTGCCCAAGAATCCCCTTCCATTTCTTCATAAGTCAATGAAACCAGTGGTGGGGTCATCTGGTACACTACCTTGACCCAGAACAGCACAGCTGCTTTCTTGAAAAGATTACCCACAGAACAGTATGAAGTCTCAGAGCTACGTTGGAATGGGTCTCCGAGGATCATCTAATTCAATCCCTTATTGATGCAGGAATTCCACAGGATGTAGAGTTCATCATCTTCCAAAGCAGTCTGCCCCATCATCGAAGAGCTCCTGTCAAAAGGACGTTCTTCCCAATTCACACAAATGAAATGCCAGGATATTGGACTGCTACCTTTCCTTTCCATGTTCAGTACAGTGGAAATGGCTCTGGAAGAACCTGAATCTTATGACACCACTGACCTGCATAGGAACTGATGAACAGAGGCCACATCCATATGAAGACCAAAGTACCTGGTTCAGCTCTGTTCCTTTCTGTTATTTGTTCTTGCTGACCAGACAGTGCAAAGGTGGATTTGATGTGATATGTGCCTTTTCCTGTGGTTAAAGACTCCCCCCGCCATCCCTGAAAGGAATGTATTATTTTAGACTGGGTTGTGATGATGGTGGTGGTGGAACTTAGTGCTACAGCACCTCACGTGTAAAGTTCATTTCCAAGTCAGAGACTCCCATTTAAGAAGCTTTTAGTAATTCTTTATTCGCTTCAGTAATGGGGATGGGTCACCAGACATAAGACTGTAGCAAGGAAGGAACTTATCTTGACACAGTCACAGCCAGAAAACCTAGGGAAGTGAATTTCAAGGGTTTGGCCTTTTGTGTAGAGCAGACACTGATACTGGTAAGTCTCGGCCTGCATCCGGGCAAACTGTCTACCTCTACTCATTTGGTGCAATACTCTTAGCCATCTGAACAACCACCGAGAATGTTGGAGATGCTGTTTGTAGGTGTAGGTGGGTGGTGAGTTCAGTGTTGTGAGTGCAGTGAAGCTGCTCCAGGTTTTATTCTCACCTTCAATGGATCTATCCAAGGTGCTGAACTTTATGTCCATAATAGCTTCAGTGTTTTCAATAGCTCTTTTAAAATTCTAGCTAAAAACCAGAGCAGATTCATGGGTCTGCATCCCCAGAGTCACTAGCTTCCACTGAGTTAGTACTAGATGTGGTTGCAATTCCCTGGATGGAGCAGGTTCATATTGCAGAGTTGTTCCTCCGTTCCACTTCGTCTGTAACTGTCCAGATGGCTCCAGAGCATAGGATGCTTTTTTTATCAGCTTTCAGCTGATACACCAGGTGTTCCCCTACCTGGTCAGAGATAGTCTCATTGGAGTTATCCATCCACAAGTAATCTCCCACCTGGATTATTGCAATGTGTTGCGCAAGGGGAGGGGAGTTTGCTCTGAAGACAGTTCCGAAAGTTTGTGTAGTGCAAAGGAGATGCTAACTGAGATTATTTTGATCACAGTATCAATTGCACTGGTTACTGATATGGTTGGTTTCTCAAGCTGATAGACTGAGACTATATGAGCGATGACAGAAAGGCATTTAGACAGAGTGAGCACTAATCATGAAACGACCGATTGCCTAAGGCCAGACTATGTGGTCCCCTGCATTTCTGCCCACTTACTTAGCTTGTCTTAAGAAAGCCTTCTCTGGGATTCATCCCCTGCATTTGTGAGCCATAGTTATGCAGAAAAGAAGCCTCCTCAGTGGTGCCCTCCTTTTCTAGAACAAGCTCCCAAGAGAAACCCAACCAACATCCTTGCATGTACCATTTTGATGCCAGACTAAGAGCATCTTCTTTGAGTAAGCATACAGTTCCTGATTCATATCTTTTCATCTTCATCTCTATTATTTAAACTGTATTGCTAGCCTTTAACAGCCTGTTTTTTTAAATGCTTTCCCATCATTCCAATTGTTTATTTTTGTTAAAAACGCTTGTCCTTTATTGACTTTTTTGCTTTGTGTTTTACAGTTGCAAAGGCTTTGAGGGTATTACTAATTTGGTGGTATATAAAAGGAATAAGTCAGTGTCCTAACCTGAAATCCCTAAACAAACCCACTTAGATACCATGTTTAAAAACTAAACTTACCTCATTCACTCTGTTGCTAGAATTATAATGACATTGATCAGGAATAGTTCCACTGGATCTTGAATGAGAAAGAACTATGGCAAAATATCACCTGCCTTCTGCCTTTCCTTTCTGATGAATCAGAGGCCTGTTGCTGGAGAAACCAGCTTGCTTGCATCAGCTAAGATGAAATAATGATGATTACTATACAGCTTGACATCTTCCGGGTAGCCTGGTGCACAACTTACCTGCTCAGAATAATATGGAGAGCTTTTCCATGGCTGGTTCAATGGACTTCTGTGCCTTCTCCTGTCCTAAATTCTTGGAGGCTCATATGATCTATTTCTCCCAGCTTCTGCTCTGCTGGAACTCCTCCACTCCCCTTCCTTGCTCTGTGTTCATGAAGCCATATCTGTCTTTTTGGGGTGAAGATGGGAAAAATGTCCTTTGATTCTCTCCACCACTGTCACGAGATGGGGGGGGGGTTGTTCAATCTACTACTCCAGAGCACATACTGGCTAAAGAATCCTGGGAGATGTAGTGCAGAAAGCCCTACATATCTCACCTCTGCCCTTTCTCCTCCTCTCTCTGCCTTTCTGTCCTTCTTTTATATAATAATAGATTTTGGTCACAGGCCTTGGAACTGAAATCCTTGCTTTCATCTGGCTACCTGCCTTGCCTGCTTCTTGCTGGTACGGCTTCAGGTCTGGTGATTTCACCGCCTTTGGGCTCCCTCTTCCACCAGACATAAGATTATCTTGCTGCTCATATTTGCACACATGCACATCAGAACCAAAGAGACGTCTCCTTGTTTCTCTGAGAGTTGACTTCTGGGCGCCCAGAGGAGGGAGCTGAATGCTGGAGAATGACAGCTTTCCACAATGCACATGCATGAGAATGTCAACCAGTGATTTAATCATTTAAACAACCCCCTCCCCAAGAGGAAGGAGCTTGTCTATGATATGATATTATGCTAATAGCTATCATTTATATATCCTGAAACAATAATAGCAATAGCATGGAAGAGAGTTTATGGTTCTCCAACAGCTCCCGAGTCTGCACTGAAGAGAGAAACAACATGTTCCTATCTCCTCTTGATATAATTGTATATAATTATTAAATTATAGTGTGCTTACGTAAAACAACTTATTTTTTGTTTAACTGAACATACTAAGTTGATAGCTGCATTTCCCCCTTAATTTTGCATTTTCTGCCTTTACTAATTGGGAGCGTTTTACTTCATCCTCCACTTTGTGGTCGCTTGATAGCAAAGTGATAATTCAAATCTCCTCCTGTACTATTTGTCCTTTCTCTCTGCTTCCCTTCTTCCCTCCTCCCACTCAAGGTCTTCAGGAAGAACAGCTGCTGAAGCTTACTCACCAATGCCTTACATCTAGGATGGCTCATGAGCCAGAATTTCACTGGCCTGGTCAAAATGAGGGCCTTCTCTGTGGTTGCTCCCAGGCTGTGGAATGGCTGCCTTCCTCTTGTCCTTCTGTCATCAGGCAAAGCCCTTCCTCTTGAGGCAGGCTTTAAAGTTAGGACCAGAGATGGACCTCTTCAGCAGTCCATGTCAGTTCATTTTTCATCCAAACAGGTGTTTAGCACTTCCCGGTCCCACCTCCTCAGGTAGGAGGCCACTCAGAGCAAGCGCCCAGGTTTCCCTGCCCCGCCTCCTCCAGGCACTGCCTCTCAGTGGCCACCGGCCAGAGGAGGCAGGGTTCCTAACTAACTGAACCAGTTAGTTAGGAACCCATGGGAAAACAATCCATTACCTGACCTTTGTGGGTAGGAGACAGAGTTACGGCATATATCTACATACAGTGGTGCCTCGCTTAATGATTTTAATTGGTTCCAAAAAATTCATCACTATGGGAAAACATCGCTAAGCGAACCGCGTTTTCCCATAGAGATGCAATGAAAACCGGATAATCTGTTCCAATGGGAAGGGATTGCCGTCCTTAAGCGAAAATCGCCATGGGAAACATCGCTAAGCGAAACGCAGTTCCCCCATTGGAATGCATTGAAACCTTTTCAATGCATTTCAATGGGGGAGAAAAAAAATCACCAAAAATTCAAAAAGAGTCAGAACGAAGCCAAATTTGGTTAACAAAGGGTTTATTAAGTGCACTGACAATTTCAAGCACTCTAAACCCTTTTAAAACAAGTTAACACCTTTTAAAAAAATCGAAAACGGAGCTGTCAAAAACATCGCTAAGCGAAACAGGGGGACCTAAACTGTCATCGCTAAGCGAAGCAAGGTCCTGAACATCGCTATGCGAAATTCCCCCATTGGAAACATCACTAAACGGAGCAGAAGATCACTCCTAAAACCTTATCGCTAAGCGAATACATCGTTAAACGAGGCGATCGCTAAGCGAGGCACCACTGTATAAAGAAAAACAGTGTGCATGAATGACAAGGTGCTTTAATGGAGTCAGAGTACTAGAAACATAGGAATTTCGTGGGCAAAGTTCCACACTGAAATTTTCACGCTTAATTTCTTTTTTTTTCTTTGTTTAAATTTTTATTTATTTAAAATGTAAACATAAATATAAAATACACAAATCAAAATACAATATAACTGTGTTCCCCACCACCATAGACGGGACCTCTTGCTATAATCTTATTCCTCTATTTATATTCTTCCCCTTCTTTTATTGTTCTCTTCTCCAGAACTGCATTGATTCTTGATTTGGAGCTTTCCCCTTTCCTCTTGTTAATACATATTCCAAGAATCTGCCCCATATTTCATGAAAACTATTCTTTTTCAACTCTCCTTTATATTACAAGTTAATTTATCATTTAGAGCTATATTCCATATTTCATTATACCATTTGAAATTCAGATTTTGATTTCCATTTTTAATTTCTGGCATGTTTCATTAAAAATGGTGAACCAGGGCACGGAAGTGTTTGTTGATTCTAAGACGTCAAACCAGATCAGTTTGTTAAAGAAAAAATATTGATTCATTGACATTAAAAATATTAAAGAACTTTTCATAACATCTTGTAAATTACTTTGTTCAAGGGCTTTTTAAAAAAAAATCACTTAAGTTACTAAAAATATCCAGCAGTGAAGTAAAATAACACACATAATGTTAATTGGTTTTCAGAAGATAATTTTATTGGTGTTTAATGATTAAAATGCTGAGTTTTTAATAATGGGTAGAATTTGCAGCTAATACAGCATTTTTTTTCCATTTTAAAAATGAATAGGGAGCTCTATCCTAAGGGTGGCTGCTCAGCTCACACATCACCAGACGGTCCTGTTTTATGTACGAATGACAGTTTGTCATAAAAAAGGCAAAAATTGAATTGTTACTTTGTGATGCAGTCTAGTTTCATTGAACTGTGCTGTGAATAATTTTCAGGCACAGAATATCCAGGAAAAGGGGGAAAAGCAGAAAGCAGAAAGAATAGGGAGGAGAAAGAGAAGAGGAAGAAAAGTTGGAGGGGAAAACCATGAGGAGAAATTCAGGGAAACAAAAGGAAGGTGAAAGTGTATCAATGTAGTTCTTTTCTATCCAGGGTTGAAATATTTAATGAACTATCATCCTACACATCTCTTATGCATCCTAAGTATCTTTACATAGATCAAGTCTTAGAATGTTCCGGTACTGAATTTATCTCATGTGAAAGAATTTTGCCTAAAATTCTGTAAATTCAGGATGTAAAGCTTCACTTTTCACCCTTGCAGATACAAGCGTGTGATGTTGTTCTCCTCATTGGCAACAATGGCAAGGAATTTCCTGGTGCTCTCAATGCAGAGTTCTTCATTGATAGGAATGGCATTTTTCACACATACACCCAAACACACAAACATTCTTCAACTCTTGCACAAACACAAATTTGCTGGTTCGTTTGGAAGCTGCACAATTCATTCAATTGCACGAATTGTACAAATTGTCCCAAAATAGGATATCTAGTGCCTTTTTTAAAAAACACAAAGCACTAAATGGGTTGTTCTTATCCTTTTTTAAAAACCAATTAGGTAGTTCTTCTGTGCTTAATGTGCACATATGTGTAGATGCTTTGCTTCTGAAAAGGAAACGGTTCTCGAAACATTTTTTATGCAAATCAAAAATGCTTTGAGGAGGGAAATAACTCTTTTCTTACTTCTGGCTGGGGGTGAAGAACCTCACAGGACTTTGGAATTCCTTACTGACACACTAAATCAATGAGACCATGGAAATCAGCGAGTATTCTTTTAATCCTCATTGAAAAGCTACTGCCAGTCAAAACAGACAGCATTGATCCAAGGCAGCCATGTATCTGGCAAGGGGGAGGCGGTGAACTGGAGACATCTTGCCTTCAGGCAGTCCAGCCAGTAAGGTGGCCTCTGGTAGCTCTGACACAAGCTCCTTTTCTCTGAGATTGTTTCTCTTCACCTTTGCAGAGTGGAGAAGAAGGTGGCTCAGTCACCTTTGCAGAGATGTCAGACAAAAACCAAAAAAACACATCCCAACTTTTTTTTAAAAAAAAAACAGAGGCAACAAAAACGTTGTGGCACCTTAAAGACTGCTGTATTTTAATGTGAGCTTTTCTGGACAAGTCCACTTCTGTGTCATAGATTCCTGTTGGATGACTCATAGACATGAATGGAACAGCCACGACAGGCCTGACCCGGCCAGCCACTCATGCATTCCCCCAAAGGTGCACGTGCATCACCGGGACAAAAGAGGGCTTTGAGCTCCATGAAGCTGCATATGCTACGTTATATGTAAATTTAGAAACAATTTTTAATATATATGATTTAAACAGAGTCACTGTGCATATCACTCAAGGGAAGTGACCAGGTGGTGGACCAGCTGCTGAGTCCAGTGGTCAGTTCCAAGGACTTTGATCTCCCTCCTTCTGATTCTTTATCTTCCACTAAGACTTAGACTGGGCACCTCTGTCAGTGGAGGATACCCTCAAAGAGGATTTTCTTTTGCCAACCCTTGAGGACCGGCGTCCACCCTGCGCATGCAGCCTAAGGAGTTACACACCTTAAAGCCTAAGACAGTGAGCAAATCTTGGTGGCCTCCCATAGAATTTCTTGGCTAGCTCTCATCTCAATTACAAGCGCCCCTCCTGTTATATTGCCAGAATGAGTCTGATTCACAAAGATACGAGCTCGAACATGAATAGCACGAAAGAAGAGTTCTAAGTACCGGATTT